CCTCGCCGTCGTCCCCGCCCCGCCCAGCCTGCCCGCCGCCGGCCGCCGGCCCTCCGGCCGGCCAGGAGCCCCGCCGCCGCCGCCGCTGAGGACATGTCTAACCCCGGAGGCCGGAGGAACGGGCCGGTCAAGCTGCGCCTGACAGGTGAGCGGAGCGGGCGGCCTGCGGCCTTGCGCAGGGTCGGGGTCGCCGTCTTTGGCGCGGGTAGGGGGACGCGGATGGGGGACCCGGGCGTGGGGAGGCCTACTTGAGGGAGTCCTTGGAGCCGCTCTCACCGGGGGTGGGAGAGTCTTCCGTGGAGGTCCCGCAGCTCCCGCCGGAGCCGTCCCGGGCTGCTGCCCAGGTGGTGGGGTCGTGGATGGGATTACGGAATCCGGTCTCTGACTCGCGCAGTAAACACTCCTTAAAGATGGAGTGCTGAACGGGAGGCGTGTGTGTGTGTGTGTGTGTGTGTTGGTTCCCGGACGGGAGAGACGTGTGTGTGTGTGTGTTGGTTCCCGGACGGGAGGCGTGTGTGTGTGTGTGTGTGTGTTGGTTCCCGGACGGGAGGCGTGTGTGTGTGTGTGTGTTGGTTCCCGGGCGGGAGGCGTGTGGGTGTGGTGTGTGTGTGTTGGTTCCTGGGTTGTTAACTTGGACACCACAGAAGTTCCCCAGCCACCGTGGCCGCTGCCGCACACCTTAAACGCACGGCTCCAGGAGGGAAGGAGACTGCGGTTGGCTTTTCCGGTGCGTCTGCCTGATCCTACGACTCCGGCTCATTGTACGCTGTGTGTTTTGGAAGTGTTTGATTGTAGGGTAGTATGTTTGGGGGTTGTTCTTTGTAGGCCGCAGAGCTAGTGGCTCACGTCTGACTCCAGACCTGGTTGAGAAACTGGCTTTTGAGTGTATTTCGCAGTCTGGACTCATACAAACTTTCAAGTTAACTTTTCTCTCCTCACCACCCTTTCCCGTTTATAAACGGAAAAGAATACTCAGAGGGATTTGCTAGAGAGAAGATCATCTTCTCTTAAAGTGTTTATGTTCCCAGGCACAGTTTGCTTACGGTGCCTTTTTTGATAACTCTAATAGACATGTCACCCCGGTTTTAAGGAAGAAAATCGTATTTGATTTTAAAAGTGCAACTGACTGGTCAGGGAGGCAGAGATAATAGTTTTGTTTTCCCTGGGGAAGGTTGCAAGGACTTAGATTAGCTGAGTGTTTCTTGTGGCAAACCCTAGATTGGGGAATGCTTTTCTTGCCCCTTTTCACCTTTCCTTGTTCTCATTTGGGGGGAATCAGTGGTTCTAGTTTATCTGCTGCTGTTATTAGGCAGTCCTGTGTCAGTAATTATGGAACAAACCTGTGAGCGTAGGTGTGCAAAAATCAGCAGAAATAGGCAGTTGTCATTTATTTCCTTCTGTGATAAAACGGGAAACAGGGATTTTGATTTTTCTGCTGTTACATTTATTTACTCTGTGTGCATATGTGTGAGTGCATGTGTCATAGAACATGTGTGGAGGTCAGAGGACAATTTGTAGGACTGTTCTTGTCTTGTACCATGTGGGTCCTGTGGATTGTACTTCCTGGAGATTGAACTCAGGTTGGCAGGCTTGATAGCAAACACCTTCACCGGCTGAGTTTTGAGGTTTAGTGTGAACCAGTAGATCTTAAAGTGTTTTTCTGTGGTTTCTTTGCTGCATATGATACATTAAACTCAGGAGTGAAGTTTGTGAGGGAGGATTGCACTTACTTTTTGAGAGAGGATAGATTGAGCTAAATTTATTGAGTGATTTTTATGTATTTAGCTTTCTCTGAAGAATTTTAAAGACCCTGTGTCCTCTTAATTGGAAAAACAGTTTGAACTACTCAGTTTCTTAAAACCACTGGGAATTTGCCTGTGAATACTTTTCTCAAAGTCTGACAAATATTAAAAACATTGTCCTCTGCTTTTGGTTACATATGGTGGAATCTTGTCTGTTTTGCCAGGGAAGTTAACTTACATTTTTGTTCATCATTTACAAATTAGGTGGTATAGATTTTAACAGATAGATCTCAAGAGCTGGATTCAATTAGCAGCTTTTTAGGACACAAACATAAAAGGGTTAGATGGAAAAGATTGTTTTGACTGACGGGATAAATGACAGACTGTGTTTGATGTCCGTCCAGGAATTGGTCTGGAGCTGGTGCCCAGCTTCTCAGTCCATCTTGAGAAGCCAAATAAAATATTTAACCTAGGCCTCATTTTTGTTTAAAAAAAAAGTTGATTCTTTGTTAAAACTTTAAGAAATGTTTGGCATACCTTTAGACTCAGTGCTTAACAGTTCATTTAGATTTGGGTTCCCTAATAGAGGAAAAAAAAATCACTTTAAAAAAAAAAAAAAAAGATCCCACAGTGAACTTTGATTTGGTTTACAATACATTCGGGCTGTAAGATGTTTTAGGATTAATGCTCTTTGCTTTAAGTTAAAACCATACTAGTATTTTGAATTTATGGAGTACCTTTGATTCTAAGGTATTTATGAACTGTAGTTACCCAATTATATCCTTAATGTAGAATTGCCCATTTGCTGTTAACAGATCTTTCATAGTCAGTTTCTGCCTGTCTCTCTCAGCCCCCCCTCCTTGAGATCTCTGCCCACAATAGATGTTAGTTTTCCGCATATGATTCCTCAAATCAGAGAACTGTGTTATTGTTGATGCTAAAGTGGGGCTAATTTAATCTCAAATTTGAGATTCCTTAGGCCATTAGTTAAAATCTGATATGGTTTATCAAGATGCCTTTATCTTTTTGACACATTAACATTTGACCGCTAAAATAGGTTATATGGTAATGATGTCGATTTCAATTTGTGTGTCTAAAGTGGAGGGTAGACTGTATATTGTGTGATTTGTAGTGTTATGCATATCTAGTACAGGCTGTCTTACAATAAATAGTAGGAAACAGATTGGGTTGAAAATATTCTATACATTTGGTTATAATAAAAAAAGAAGTGGCTTTGTTTAATGCCCTTATTTTGAAAAATCAAAGCCTGGAAAAAGCAATTCAGTGTAGTTTCTAATATTTTAAATTCTTAGGTATGGGGCAATAGCAGATTACTTATCCAGAACATTTATTTTAGACTTTTTTCTTATATATATGACATTTTTAATTTAAATAAATTTTATTATTTTTATTTTATGTGTATGAGTGTATTGCCTGCATGTGTGTAAGTACATCCATATTGTGCAATGCCTGCAGAAGTTGGATTCCCTGGAACTGGAGGTATGGACAGTTGTTAGCTGCCATATGGATGCTGGGAATCAAACCTGAGTCCCCTGTAAGAGCAGTCTGTGCTCTTAACCACTGAGCCATATCTCTAACCCCCTTGGCCTTTTTTTGAGACAGAGATCCGTCTGCCTCTGCCTCCCAAGTGCTGGGACTAAAGGTATGCGCTGCCACACCCAGCTATAAATTCAGTAATTAAAAAAATATTTTTATTTTTTTTATATGTATACGTGTATTGCCTGCATATAGGTAAGGGCACCCATGTTGTGCAGTGCCTGCGGAGGACAGAAGATGCTGTTGGATCTCCTGGAACTGGAGTTACGGACAGTTGTTAGCTGCTAAGTGGGTGCTGGGATTCGAACCTGGGTCTTCTGCAAGAACATTCAGTGTTCTTAACCCCTGAGCCATCTCTAGCCCCAAATTCAGTATTTTATATGCCATTCCTCATTAGTTTTTAATCCTTGGCAGTAAAAAAGTTAATCTAGTCCATAATGTGAGGAAAATATATTTAAAATCTCACTTTAAATATGCTTGTATCTTAATATTGCTTCACTGCATGTTTTATTAATTCAGGGTTTAAAAATTTTCAACTTCATTGCACCTTTTAGGTTTCCATGCATGAATGTGCCATGCACCATAAGGACTTCTTTAGTGCTATGGCTGATTTGAATGTAATCAATTCATTATTGGTTTCTGAGGAACAAACCAACCATAGTTCCTTCCTTCCTTATGTGTTCTCTTCTACTCTCTCTTCATATAGATAGTAGAACATACCTAGGTTTCATGTAGTTTGGCTTTTTGGGGTGTGTAAGTGTATTTTAATCATGGCTTCTACTTTTTTCCTGTTGATTGGTCTATTTTTATTATAATACAAAAATATCTTATTTAGCATATACTTAGCACATTTAGCATATAACTCAATTTCTTTTCTTTTTTTTTCGAGACAAGTTATATAGTTTACTTGGTTTCAAACTCACTATGTGGCTGAGGATGACCTTGAACCTCTGATCTTCATTTCTTGAGTGCTGGAATTACAGGTGTGTACCACCATGCCTGGTTTTTACATAGTGCTGGGAACTGAACCCAGGACTTCATGATTGCTATGCTAGCGCTCTCTCAACTGAGCTACATTCCAAGCTCATAACTTTGAATTAAAATTTTTTATTTTCTTAGGATATGTCCATAAAAATAGTATTATTGAGCTTAGTGTGGTGCACACACCTGTATCCCAGCATTTGGGAGGTTGAGGCAGGAGGATCATGAGTTTGAGACCAGCCTACATAGTAAGTTCTGCCAGCCTGGGCTATAGGGAGAGACCTTGTCTAAAAAAGGTAAAAAAGTGTTATGTTCAACTGTGTTGGTCTTTTAAGATTCTTCAAAGAAAAAGATTTTTTGGGACTGGAAAGATGGCTCCAAGCACTGGCTGCTCTTGAAGAGGAGCTAGGCTCAATTTCCAGAACCTACATGGTGGCTAACAACTGCCTGTAACTTCAGTTCCAGGGTATCAGGAGGCCCCTTCTGGCTTCTGCAGGCATTGCATGCATGGAATATACTTACATGCAGACAGGCAAAACACTCATACACATAAAATGAAAAAAAAAAAAAAAAAAGATTTTGTGTGTGTGTGTGTGTGTGTGCTTGCACATCCTCACATGCAGGTGCCCATGGAGGTCAAAAGAGGGCTTCAGGTCTCCTGGAGCTGGAGTTACAGGTGGTTGTGAGCTGCCAGGGGTGCTGGGAACCCAACTCTGATTCTCTGAAAGAGCAGCAAGCACTCTTAACTGCTGAACAGTTTTTCCAACCTCATTTTAAGATTCTTAATTTCCTCTTTAGGCTGCTTCCTAAGAGAGTTGTGCCTGCTTAGAGCGACAGTGAACAAATGTCTTAAATGAAAACCCAT